TCCGTTTTCAAGGAAGATGTCCGCGGTTTCTGGTCGGAGAATTCTGGGAGAAAACTCCGAAGAATATGTAAAAAAAATTGGGTGAATCAAACAGTAGATGGGGAGGTGGGGAAAGGGTCGTTTCAGTGAAGGAGGTTTTGGGGTGAGTCGTATCTCGCAAAGTTTTACCACAACGGCAGACTTGTCCTGGTCCAAATCCTGGGGTCCCATAATTTTTCATCAAAAGAAATGAACAAACTGTAATTAACTGTATTATATTTATAGGCCAGAAAATAACATTGATTCGTCTTCTGAATTTGATGGATGATATTGATGGTACAGGTATGAATACTTATCTTTATGGATTGCTCATCATTTGACTTTCAAGCAGTTCTCATTGTGATCTATAGCATTAGAAGTAAAACCGTTCAATATATATTTGTAATTCTGAGCATGAGAACCATGTTGCATTTGCATAGATTCTGTCCGCATTAGATCTGCTTTTTTTGAGCGGTGGCATTTTTTTTTCAAAAGTGTAGAATACAGTTTATTTGATGATGCTTCTGCTTTTGTTCAGGATCCTTTTGATTACCTTCAAGCATCATTTAAATATGTTTTCGAATGTACTTATATTAGTGTGATTCTGATTAGTTATTGCTTTCATTCTGTTCGAGTTCACCTTTTGGTTCGTTGGATTCATAGAATTCAGATATGATGATACTGCGTCAGATAAGCTTAGCGATATGCCTTAAAATATGTACTTTAGCCTTTAGATGTTTTGAGAGTTTCTTTTTCTTTGAGCGTTTTTTGATTATTAATATTATTCAAGGGTAAAGCCAAAGTTGCGAGGCGATTTTGGAGGGGGATTTTTGAGTTAGCAACACTCACAGGAATGCTAAGTTGTGGGCAAAAATCAGACCACGGATGGGATCGCTGTTTTTGTCTGAGTCTTGTACTGCACCTCCTCCTTTCATCCCAGGCACACCATTCGTTAATTATTGGAAGTTAGATTTTCTTGATCCCACCATAGCCTTAGTAGCCCGTTTCATTCCCCTGCAGCCCCCCGTCCCCATCCCCTCACTCCCCGACGACCCCACATGGGGCAAGAACGCAACATACGTTTAATATTGTGCAAGACGTTTTGTAAAACTAACTGTAATGTAAGGTTGTGTTTCTTTTGAATAAATCTCAAATACCGTGAGTTTTTTCTGGAGTAGGTTTTTCTGACTCCTCTCTAAAAGCTGTTCATTGCTAAGCGCCGTCCTTTTGGCTTTCTGGGAAGTCACTATTATGCTTGCAAAGATTGAAAAGGAACCCCCGCAACTAGGATGAGAACACTGACTCGTCCATCGGCTAGCCTGCTAATCACCGTAGAGGCCACTTCGCATTCAAAGCCAATACGATTTCGAATGGAAGTGGAATGCGGGTCGCATTCCACAAAGGGACTGATTCATGGCGAATACTTTGTGTGGCTCAGTTCGGCGACGGGGGCATTTTGCACTCCGAACCATCTAGAGAGCTCTTTCATGAGCAAGACAAGAGTTGACGGGTTTTACCATGGTGGCTAGACGAGCTTGCTCCAGCTTCACAAGAGTTCACAGGTTTCACCAGAGCGGAACTTGTGAACCGGAACTAGTAAAGCAGTGAAGGTACAAAATGCCCCCCCTCCCCCCTCCATCGCCCGAGAAGCGCCACTTTGCTTTAGTCTTTTTAAATTGGTAGTAGACCCGGTGAGTAAAACGGCGGCCGTTGAAACGGTGCCGTGTGTTCACATAGAATGTGGTTCCAAAGTTTTTTTACTGGTCGAGCGCAGAGAGAGTTGTCTGAACTGGACGATACATCGCTGAGCTTCAGGGTATCAGTTTCACTTCAGACTTCCCACAGTCAAAACCGTAGTATGTAGCGATTTTGTCATGGGTCAACGCAGTGGTGGGCGTGACTTGCGACGTCGCAGCCCTTGCGCACGAGCTGTGTTGTCTCGAGGGCCGCTCAAGTTACTAAAGGGATAAATCCCTTTGCAACGGGTATGTGACAAGAGAATCGTATTTCGCCGCGTCAGTGGGCGTCGCCTGCGACGTGCCCACCAATGACGGCGATTCTAGGTCGTGTTTGTTGAAAATAAACAACGTATGATCAAAAACAGCCATAAATTCCTACGGTATCTAGTATACATGAAATCCGATGCTCCAATCGGATGGGTCATGCAAATTAAGTAGTGGCGCCCAACGCCGCGAGCGACGATGCGGCAAATAAATATGTGGTTTTCTTGTCCGTCACCCCTTTGCAACTCTGAAGTGAAGGCCGTCAACAAAAGGAATCCATCGATCCAATAATAGCTCTTGTGGATACGGTGGTGCAGCTTTGACGATGGCGCGCGCGACGTGGGCGGTGCTACTTCGTGAGCTCACGAGTGAATCTCAAAAACGTTTAGGTGTTCAAGAATGTGTGGAAAAACAGGGCACATCGTACTTGTGAATCCCTTGTGAGTGGGTCGCATTCGGTCGCTGGAGGGAGGGGGGTTTTTTGCGGGTAAAAGGTCTATGTAAATCTGCAGTCAAGAAACTAGAACAGAGCGAATAGTTTATTTGTATGTCATTTTTCATAGTGTGCTATGAGTTTGACTTTGCCATCACCACTTTGAGGATACTTGTTAGTCGCGCATGGACAATAACCTCCGTCCTCTCCACGCGGGCCAGGTGGTCCAGTCTGAAAGGGAAAATTTGGAGAAGTTATCGTATAGAACGCTACAAGAAAACTTACAATTCCTGGAATGCCGTGTAGTCCGGGAATACCATCTCTTCCTGCGGCTCCACGTGGTCCTGGTTCTCCAGGTTCACCAGGTTCGCCAGGAAAACCTGGCGGTCCAGGAGGTCCCATGACCCCTTCTTTTCCTGGTGGACCAGGTGGGCCAGGAACTCGTGTGTACAGTACACCTGGTCCTCCAGGAATTCCCGGTGTTCCAGGTGGGCCAGGA